CCCCCACCGCCTGACCTGCCCTGCTGCCCCCCTGCCACCAGAGCCCCTGACCTGCTGCCCCCCTTGCCACCAGGGCTGACCTGACCTGCTCCCATGCCAGTGCCGTCCACCCAGCACTGCCAAAGGGCAGGCTACCCCATGGGGATTCCTCAGCAAAACAGGGGGTGAGAGGAAGGTCCTTGTTGTGGATTGACACCGACCTCAGCAGGAGCCAGGGGAGCCTCCTTCCCCGAATCAGGACCAAGGACAGTGTGTTGGGAGCGTGTGCTCCTGGCTTGATGTTCTGGGTGGAAATCCAGCATTTCAGATACTGAAGCTTTCAAGCTGAGCAGCATCTCCCTCTCAGTCCTCACAGGCTGATGCACACTTGTTTCCCCAGCACTTTTTTTGTGCTGCACAGAAGAGACTGAAAGCACTGCCTTGGGTAATACAGTGTTTTCCTGCTCTGCCCTGCAACAGTCTGTTCTCATGAGCTTCTCACTGCTGACACTTGTCTCCTCCTCACTGGAATCACTGATAACAATCACCCGGGATGGTTTATTCTTCTGCCCTGGGACAGAGGAGGTCCCTTCCATCCTGCCACGGGTTAGCTCTTTTCTCCGACGGGTCAGGTATTGCTTTCTGCCACTGGTAAAGCTCTCATTATTTAGGAGATCAAAATTCACACACACTTCCTCCTCACTAGATTCACTTTTTTGGAAAGTTTCCTCTTCCTCCTCTCCAACACAGAAACTGTCCTCTGCGTAAGACTGGTCTTGCTCAGGAATCTGTGGGGGCAAAAAGAACAAACCAAATAAGTTCTGAAAGACTGTAATGATTTTGCTTCTCTCCATAAGGGTTTGCCCCACTTCACAGTGCCCTGGCAATGAGTGCTGTGACACAAAAGTGCAAGTTCCAGCTCTGCATTCTCAGTAACTGCCTCAGCTGGAACAGCAACACATGTTGAGCCCAGGCTGCTTGGAACTCAAGTCTCTGCTCTTCAGTGCAAAGACAAGTCAGGACTGGGACACTGTGCCTCAGACTGGCAGAAGAACAGTTTCTGCACTTAATCATAGAATCCCAAACTGGTTTGGGTTGGGAGGGGCCTTAAAGATCATCTAGATCCAACCCCCTGCATGGGCAGGGACACCTCCCACCAGACCAGGTTGCTCCAAGCCCCATCCAACCTGCCCTTCAACACTTCCAGGGATGGGGCAGCCACAGCTTCTCTGGGCAGCATGTTCCAGTGTCTCACCACCCTCACAGGAAAGAACTTTTTCCTGATGTCCAATCTGAAGCTTCAGACCATTGCCCCTTGTCCTGACACTACACAGCTGTGTAAAAAGCCCCAGCCCAACTAAACTTGAACATGAAACTCGGAGTTAGAAGTCTTTGTTAGAACTGACTATTCATCAACACTAGGCTGCCAACTACACTTCAGAGCAGGATTAAAACCTAAAGGCAGCCACAGGCAATGGGAGTTTCACAAGGACAGCAGGCATTTGGTTTCACACCTGGGAGAAAATGGCCCTGCTGCTGAACTCCCGATGAACCATTTTGTATTGGTTGCCAAGCACGGGGCTGCGCACGGACTGCAAGTACACCCCTTCCATCTCACCCTCTGAGTAAAACAAGAAGAGAAAAGAGAGCACAGCGTCAACAAGGATGTAGTATTTGTTATCGTTACATTGCTTGCAATATTAAGAAATTCCTTCATAGTCTCCCAAAACCCTGTATTTTGCACAACAAAAACCCGCACTACTCCAGACATCTCTGGACACCCCAAAGGGAAGGACCAGCTCTGCCACAGAAGCTGCTGTGTGAAGGTTTCCTCAGCAGGCAGAGCTTTGGGTGCCCAGAGCAGGGCAGTGTTAAGCACAGCAAACCAGCTCACTCCCTTTTCTGCATTGCAAGTCTCTCCCTGAACAGTCACAACAGCTGATTCAGAGACTGTATGAGAATGGGATGGGTTTACTGAAGCCCACGTGGGGCTTCAGATCTTACAGGGAACAACTCACAATTTCAGTGGAGGAGAAAAATCCTCAGCAACATCTGGGAATCTTAAATGATAAGGTTATTCCACTATGCAACTGTCCCAGGGAAAGACAAGGTTCATAAGCACAGGGGTAAGTAAACCATCTCGACCAGAGAAGAGCATTAGCTTCTCAGCTCTATCAGTGTCAACACTCTAATTTTGTCTTTAACATTCATATTGCTATTTCATACAGTATTTTAGGTCTCTCCCTCTGTGTCAGAAGACCTGAAAGATTCAGGAGATTCTAAATTAAATGGAAAATTGTGTTTCTGTTCAGTCATAATGGTGTGTGAGGGAGTGGGTTACTCTAGGTGAGCCCCTGCCATCCTCAGTGACTCCAGCCTGCCCAAAGCTAGTGCAGGCAGGGACTCCAGTGAGGATCTTGCTACATGAGAAACCCACGTGAACACAAACAGAAAAGCTACAAACAGATAAAGGAAAGCACCTGATTTTCCAGAGAGGAGGTGGCTGCTGCTTTGAGCCAACATGTGCTGAGATATTAGCTGACTGGCTGGCCCTGCCTGTCACAAACCACGTGCTAAACAACACCCCTTCTCTTAAAACCATGAACAACTCTCCTCACCCACCGTTTAACACTTGGGTGATCTCCACATCATCATCCAGGAACTGAGCAAGGGAAGAATTCAGCTCGTTCTCTGCTTCATCACTTTCATCTGATGAAACACCATCAGCATCTTGCTGGGACAGCTCAGCTTCTTCATCTAGAAACTCTCTTCCTGCATTCTAGAAAAGACAAAAATCCAACCAAAATGTCAGTTAGAAGGTGTTACGTATGAGACCTCTGATTAGATCAGTTCATGACTTCAGAACATCAGCTGCTTGGGTGATCACAGCAAGGGCCACATCTGATTTTCAGATTTTCCTAAGTATTTTAATTATTTATTTTCTTACACCAATTAGTCCCTAGTGACAGGCACTAGACAGGTTCCTTGTCTAGTATGGTTTTGATTACTCTGAAACACATTGAAGGTAATTTGTTTGCAGGAAAGACCTCCCAATGCCATTTGCCAATTAGTCTTAATCCTTCTTACTTGTGAAGGACTATGGAGAGGACAAACCCTGCAGCACGGGATGGACTCTGACAAACTGCCAAGACCTGCTCACACCTGGGAAACACTAAGTTCCAAGGTTCTTAAATTGCTGCTTTCTGAGTCTTTGAATTCAGTGGCAGTGGCTGTTTTAGCCACCTGGGACTTCTCACAGTCTCTGTTAATCTAAATGCAGATCCCTGCTGCACACCCAGCTCCACCACCTGTACTTCTGGTGAACACCTTAACTGGGGGTGGCTCTGAGTGAGCTGGATGTCTTGGACCTTCTGTGGATCTGGAATTCTGACATGTTCATCACTCTGAATGTTTAGGTAAGATGACATGTGAAGGCAGAATAGAATACCCCAAGGATACAGGTAACACACTCTCTTTCCATGAACCTTTTGGTCTCACATTAAAAAAAATTAAAATTAAATAAATTCTTTGTCTTCCAGAACATAAACCAGTGACACTATAGGGAAGTTTCCACAATGAAGATTATATTTAAAACATTAAAAATATCCAGCACAATGTGCCATGAAACTCTCCTGCACTAGGCTTTGCAAGGTTGCAAATGTGCACTGAGACACCTGCACAGGCAGGACACAGCACAGCCAGTGTCCACCTTCCAACTCAGCTGCTCCAGATATGACCCTCAGCACATCAAGGGAGACCTGTCATGTCATGTACCTTGTATGGGAAACTGCTCTTGACCTTCTGCCGTTTTGTGCTTCTCAGCTGGTTTCTCTTCTGGGCTGCTGAATTGCTCTTTGTGCTCCTGCTGCAGCTCTTCTGGAAGTCCATGCTGTCATCACTGTCTGTCTAGAGAAACATTTCACAAGCACTTCAATCAGTAAGGCTGCTTTATTACACATCCTTCAACATCTGTTTTCAAGAAGCACCTGATTTTTTGTGATTGATTTGCTATGGCAAAATAATGCAATGCAGACAATCACCATAGACTAGAACCCCAGATTGGTTTGGGTTGGAAAGGACCTTCAATATCATGTCATTCCAAACTTCCCTTCCAAGGGCAGGGACACTTCTCACTAGACCAAGTTGCTCCAAGTCCCATCCAACCTGCCCTTCAACACTGCCAGGGATGGGGCAGCCACAGCTTCTCTGGGCAACCTGGGCCAGGCTCTCACCACCCTCACAGCCAATAATTTCCTCATAATGTCTCACCTAAATCTCCCCTCCTGTTTTAATCCATTATCCTTTCCCTCTCACTACAAGCCCTGTAAAAAGTCTCTTCCCAGAAAAACATGTTATTTGGAAAAAAAGCTAAAACAAAAAAACCCACACAAAAATGTGACATGAACCTTTTGTTCTTTTTTTTTTTTCCTCATTCAAAGCTTTGTGGAAGAAAGTTGATTTTCCTGCCTTTCACCAAGGGAGAGGCTCAGCTCTCCTGCCTGTATCAATAATTCCCTGTCAACAACTGCACAGGGCTCTGCTGAGAGACCTGCAGAAAGAGCTGAAGGAAGGAAAGCAACTGAATCCTAGTAGCACTTAGGTCAGATGGCATAAGGTTTTTTTAATAAGCACCCCTGTCTGCTGACTGGAGAAAGAAAAGATGTTTCAACAGGGTTCAACTGAGCTGGTGTACTTCCCTCCTGCCTCACCACAGCCCCACTAACCATGCTCAGGCAGTGCCGGCGTTTCCTGTGGGCACCGAGTGCTGGTTCAGAATCGCTGTCACTCCCACCCTGTGCAAACAGAAACAAGGATCATCACAAAGAGGAGCTGGGTTCTGGTGGTTGGCTGCCTTGCCATTTTGCTTCTTGACTTCCCCCCCCTCTCTTTTTCTAAGACTCACATCAGGAGACTTCAAAACATTCATTTTTTTCCTGTTTTTCCTCCGGAAAACAACCTCTTCATCGCTCCCGCTGCTGGTTCCTGCTGCAAGGGAACAGCAAACAACATTCACAAGGAAGTGCTCACACTGCAACATTCTATAACTGAGCAATCAAAAACTGCCTCTCTCATAAAAGTACCTACAAAGGAGATTACTTATTGATTTATGTGGCAAATATTGTTGTCTTTAGCCTTGTTAATCAAAATAAACCATCCCCAGCTGAGATGCACAATAAGTCCGACTTCCCTGCAGAGTCTCTGTGTGGAGGTGATTACCCCAGACAGTGCAGACACAGGAAAAGGGAGGTGGAAAATGAAACCAAGAGAAGTCCTTAGAAGTTGAGCAAGAGTTAGACTTCTGGAAGCATTTTGTAACACGTGTCCCTTAGGATGCATGGAAACAAACCAGAGCTCACAAAAACCTCCTCTTTCCAGTTGCTTTGCAAACACAGGCAGCTGGTTTGGTTTTGACAAAGGGCTGCTATGAAGCACAAGCTTCTGACACAACAAAGCTCCAGTTCTGACAGAGACCCTGGACTTGGTGCAATAGGAATAATGTCCTCCCTAAGCAGCAGGGCTCCCAGAGCAGGCTCAGCATCAACTGCAGCTCTGGCAACCTGGCTTTTTTTGACCTCTGTTGCTTTGGGACAACAGCAGGACAGGGTGGGATGGAAAGTTGGTTCTAACTAAATCACTCAAAGTTTGAATTTGTCGAAGAAAAATAAATTCCCAAACACTCCACTTCTAAAATAGCATTTTGAAAACCATAACTATCATTTCAACAACAGACACTGTCCAAGGAGGTCTTCAAGTCCTGACTGGACAAAGCCCTTAATCTGATCCAGGTTGAGCATTAACTGTGCAACTCCAAACCAGCAATTTGTTTCCTTCAGTGGTTTTGAGGTGGTTTTTTTTGTTTGTTTGTTTGGATGGGTTTTGTTGGAATGGTTGTTTTTTATTAAATAGATTACATTATTTTAATTCAGCAAACTAACATCATTCTGAAGGTGTGATGATTCATTCACAAGGAAAGGTGGCCTTCAACAACCAGTCACCTTCAGATAAGAAGATGACTATCAGACAAATTCAAAGGGAAGGAAAAAAAGATGCTTTAGCCACCAAAGGGACAGTTTATGGTTTGTTTCAATCTTTAAGGGACAGTAACACAACCATCCAGAAAAACTCAGTGTGCCCCAATATCAGACTGAGTACAACTCAGCCTGAATTATTTTGAAAGTAATTCAAGGTTATTCAGAGACAAACATGACTAAGGGTGTGAAGATGACCTGTGAGTGACCAACAAGTGAAGAATGATGGGTGTCTAAATATTGGCAATATTTGAATGGGAAGTATTTTTTATGGAGTATTGGGTCTAAAACAAAAAAAGACAGAAGGGGAGAAGAGAGGAAATTAAAAAAAAAATAGAATGGAGCCTTCAAACAGTTGGTATTTTTAAAACAATCCAGGTTTGTGCTGAAGTTATAATCAGAAAACTTTAAGTACAAGTCAGTTGTCATGCAACTAAACAGAGAGAAATCCAATAGTAGAGTTTGTATTCCTTAGGAACAATGACAGGAAAATAGGAGGGCATGGATTCAAGGACTGAAGCATAACAGATGCAGATGATCATAAATCAGACACTGAGAGGACTAAGGAAGGGCTCTCAGGGCAGCTGTAGCTCACACAGGTGTGTCTCCCGTGCTTGCACTATGAGCACTTGTGGACATACCAGAGGCTTAATTCCAGGTGCCTCCTCCAATATGCCTGCATGCATTTCCACCTCAAACACTGAGCTCCTCTGCAGGGTCAGGATTCTGGAAGTCTCCTCACTGAGCCAACTTCTAGTATCACAACCATTATTCCTTTTTCCTTTCATCTTTCCCACTAAGTCATGTAACTAAATTTAGAATCCAAAAGATACTGGGTTCTGCATCAGTTATTTAAACATGAGGTGCACCTCTGAAACCCCTACCTTCAGCAGGATGCACATGTGAAGTAGGAAGGTTGTCCTCTTCCAGGTTGTTTGTTCTTCCCAAAGGGGAATCAAGTGTATCCATGGCTGAACTCCCAAAGTTCTGCCTATGTGGACTTGTATTGACTTTATCTGTAAGAGACATCTCTGGAATTTCATCTGTGGTACTAGAGAAGACGTTCATAGGAATCCTTTTCATAGCTTTAATATTCATAACCTTTCTACTTTTTGGGGTAGAAAATGCAGAAGCCAAAGCTTCAGGTGATCCACTTCCCATTCTTCTGTCTCTGGACTTCAGGAAAGGCACAGCAGCAGTAGCATCCTTAGTCCCTCCTGCATCGTTCATGCTCCTGCTCTGGAGTGGCAATGGTGTGGAAACATCTCTTCTCTCAGGACTCTTCCAATCCCATTTTGGCACTATTTCATGTCTGGAGCTATCATTCAGTAATTTTGTTTTATCTTCAGTGAATTTAACATCTGCTGGACTCCCTGAGGCACCATTTAATTTTCTGGGTTCACTGGTATTTATAGGTTCTTCACAGATGTCACTCTGAAACTCATCAATGGAGAATCCCAGATCAAAGTTCACAGAAAACAATTCTTGAGAACAATCATAAAGTTCATCATCATCATCATCATCATCATCATCATCCAGGAACTGCTTGGTCACACTGATGCTACCTGATGTTTCCATGTTTGTGGATTCACTGCCCACTGGCTGCTCCTCACAGGTTTTCTTGGTGTCCACACAGCCCACCTCTGGAGGGCTGCCCACAATAATCACATTTTTCTTGTTCATTTTAAGATCTTCTTTATCTTTTTGAACAAAATACTTATTTGAAGGTTTATTTGTCAGAGAGTGATTTATTGTTGGAGCTTTCTTTTCAATTTCAGTGAATTCTTCATTGGCAAACAGACTGAATGAGCTGTCATTCCTGTGGGTTTCCTCTTTGGCTTTAACAACAAGACTCTTAGGGGATGATGCACTTTTGGAAAACGAGGTGTTTACAGAGACACACAATTCACTAGTGGCCTTCAGTCCAGGGTTTGCAAAGAGCAGCAGTGAATGATCAACTTCTGAGGACACAGAAAAGCCTTTGCCTGGCAGCCTCTCCAAATGACTGTCAGAAACGGGTTCTTGAAAAGGACATCTTGTTTCCTCATCTCTCATCATGTTTTCTAAATCATGGAGTTCATTTGAAGAGGGAGGGGGCTGTGATAAAAGACTTTTCACATGAGAAGATATTTGTTTTAATGAAGAAGGATCCTCAGATGGTCTCAGAAGCTCAAATGAATCCACGTATGATTCAGGCAGATAAAACAAGTCAGAGGACACAGGAGATTCCTCAGCTGTGAAGCTACCATAACCAGAATCTGTTTGGTTTGTCCCCAGTGACCTACCAGCTTTATCTACAGTTTTGGATTCCTTTATTACTGCCCCTTCATGAACTACAGCACTTTCACTGTTGTCACATAGGTCGATACATTCATTTAAGTCAAACGTCACCTCTGGTTCCTCCTCCTTTTGACTGCCCTGGTCAGTATTTTCAACCACAGCAACCCTCCTTGCTGAGCAAGAAGCTGAAGTATTAATGTCTGTAGGCAACACAGGCATCTCCAAATTCAACCCAGAAGTTCTTTTGGATGACTTTGGTTTTGCTATTTTAAATGTGGAAAAGAATTCACTCCCATTATCATCTGTATCAAGTGGAAATGGTTTGACTTTTGGCCTGTGTGTCACGTCTTTTCTAGACGAGTGAGCTTTCTGCCCAAAGGCAGAGCTGGTCATGGGAAGATGCCTTTTATTCCTCTGAACATTAACATCTTCAATCCGTAAGTGAGGCTGAATCTCCAGGTCATAGCTGCAGTCTCCCTGGTGACAAACACAGTGCAACATTTACTATAAAGACATACAAGGTTACAAGGCCCCATCACAAGGATGTTTAAAACAAATGACAAAATTTTTCATACTTGTAAAGGTTATTAGAAAGGGGAGGGGAAGTGCTTTGCATGTCAGGTCAGAACTTTCAAAGAAAATTTGCTGGCAGCTTTACTGCAACTCCATGCTTGGGTAGTCAAACCTGAAGGCTTCACAAAGACCAAAGGATAAATCAAGATGGCATTAACAGAGGCACAGAATCACACACTGAGCATCTGTGCCGTGAGGGTGCAGCTCTCAGGACAGTGACATCGAGCAACTCCACATGGCTGATCAAGCAAAACATCCTCAGACAGGCTGCAGGGCTGGGGGCAGCAAACTGAGGAGGTGCTCTCGGCAGAAGAAACTCCTATTCAAGAACAAATGAGCCAAGGCTGCTTTCTGCTCTTTGTCCCAGTATTTGTATTTTTGGCATTAGGAACATTAAGAACTCACTCACATACTCACAACCTTTTTTTCCCCAGAGATGCTTATTAATCTTCTGTTCAAAAAGGCACTGGCCTAGACAACCAACTCTTTTAAAAATACACTTGAAAAAAGCACAATAGACTTTGACATCACTCCCAGCTAGGTATCCACACAAGGGCTGCCTGGAGTGAAAGGCTATTAATTGTCCTTCTCATTGTCTCTTTCAAATCAATTTCAAAATTAAGGCAGGCAATCTTCAAAAGGAACTGTAAGGGTCAAATGAGGCTGACAGCAGTGGTTTGAAACACTCCTTCTAAGTCCAAACTTGGTTTGTTAATTAAAAAAAGAGGATGTAAGATCTAAATAGAAGGTACAATTTGTTTGACAGTTTAGTCAGATGAATCCCTGGAATTACTTATCTCTGAAATTTAACAATGTACCTGTATAGAATGGTGGGTGGTAAAACTGACTTTTACAATAAGGGGTTACCTGCTTCTTATATGATTAACACTGTCCAAAAGGCTTTAGCATATCTACGTAGGAACAAAATGAAGTCCTTATAATCACAGCCTCCTGAACCCTCCTCACTGTCCCATAAGAATATTGTTAGAGCAGTTCTACTTCAGTTTGTGCTTGCCATGCTGAAATTCACTGCTCAAACTCCAACAACATCTGTGCCTTCAGTTGCTTGACCTGCTCTAGCTCTTCACTCCCCATCACACACACAGAGCAACATGCAGACCCTTCTCCCATGAGCATAACCCCTGGTCTTCATTCACAGGGAACATGACTTCTCATTTCTTCAACACTTGGTCTCTTTGTAATTGAGTTGCTAAGAAAGTTACCAGACCTGCTCTGACCACTGACACTGTGACACCAACATCTTGATAAAACTTGCTAATCTTACCTCCAAACTGAATAAATTAATAGAAGCAATAATAGATAATAAGATTACTGGATCACTTCTTTAGAAGTATCAACATTGCTTTTGAAAACAAAAAAAAAACAGACCTTCCAAACCCATTAGGTTTCTTTGAAGAGACCAACATGCAAGGCCACTGAGATGCTCTCATGCTTACCGTCTTCCCAGCTTTCTGAAAGGCTTTCAAAAACTCCCTGCCAAAATGTTTCAAGAAACTTAAACAGAGGGAGCAAAACATGGAAATCATTGGCAAGGTTAGGTAACTGGCTACAACACAGAAAACAGGAGGAGTGAGGAGGAGTTATGCTGAAGAACTTCACTAGGCCACTGCATATACCCATGATATACCTTGGAAAAAAAAGGAAACAAAACACCAGCCCAGCAGAACTGCTGTGTGCCAGAAGACAAATTTAGCATCTAGGACAAACTTTAGTAACCTAGTTTTAGGCTTAAATGGAATTATATAACTGCTCTACTTCAACTTACTCATTCAAAATACCTTCTCCCAGTGAGTCTTGTTAATACTGATGGAGTGTAAGAATGGACAGAATTGCAATCATCACATTTTAGCCTGAATGTGTACAACTTGTAGAATCTTAAATTACCTCATCAGCTCTTCTCCAACCTAGCAAGCTGCAGAGTGTACCCATTACTTATTAAATAGGTCATGCAGGAGTAGGAAAACAGGCATCTATCTGAGGTTATTGTACTAAACCAATGATCTTGTTTAAAATTCCTGATTCTATTTAAAAGCAATAGGTTTTTAATATAGAATTTAAAAGGAAAAAGTAAACTCAGGATATTAAATTTTTTAATACATAAATATATGTATAAACACACATACACACACACTGTTTTCTAGCATTTACACATAAAGCATCTACTATCAAAATTAAAACTGACTTCTCTCCCCATAAGCTACTTTGAATGCACATTTTCTAATGAGATTCAGATGTCTGCCAAACCTGGGGAGTTTGCTATTTAAAATTTAAAAGATCAGTCTGTAAACAGATACAATTGTTAGAATCTGTGCTGTAACTTCTTTATTTGAGAAGTTGATTGAAATGGAGGTAAAAGCAGCATGAACAACTGGCACATAAGCCTTCCCTGACACAAACCAGACCCTATGTTCAGAGCAGTGTTAGACCTAGGGAAGAAATGCTCCTGGATGTTCAGCTCTCATGCTGAGTGCTCAGTCCCATCCAGCCAACACTGCCAACATGGTTAGCCACATGGGTGTATTTTCCAATTCACTTGGCCTTTAGCATGAATATTAACAAAAATTACCTCAGTAGAGCTGGAGGTTTGCACAGAGTATTCCACATGAGTAGGCAGAGCAGATATAAAAGCAGCATATTCCAATCTATTTGAATTATAAGTGGTTACACTTTTTTTTTTCTTGTAGGTGATCAGTTATTCCTTTGACACTCATGGGGAAACCCTTGCTTTTGCCCTCAGACAGGGTCTCCAACATGCACAAGACTCCCTTTCATGTGTTCTGGACAACAACTGTTGTGCCTTCAGTGCTTTCAGCCATGACCATCTTCCCCCACCTCCCACAGTTTTCAGGTGCACAGATACCTCCTAGGCTGTAACTGCTGCTTTGGATGTGCTGGATATTTTAACACACACTCGCTCAGGAAGCTAAACTGGACTTCAGTTGCAATGGAAGACTTCTGGAGAACACAGAAATCAAAGGGTGCAGTCTTCCTCCAGCTTCTCTCTTTCCTACAAAAAGAGTTTTTGCCTCCCAGGAATCACCTGCTTGACAAACTAGGCTGTAGGCAGTACAATATGCTCCCCTCTGAAGTGGTTTAACAACAAATGTGTACTATACAGTAGTTATTAGTAGTTATTTTTGCTGCTTTAAAATTGATCACTTTTCCAAACAATCTACCCATTGGCTAAACAATTTCCATGCTAACCTCCCTGCCATCTGACAGCAGGCCATTATTTATACCTTTCAGGAACTGATTAATGAGCAGAATAAACAATCCCTGCTATACCATGATTGCTTAGTTTCCAGAGGATGCTAAAGGGGAAGGAACACCTTCAAAAAACATTTTGGAAGTTCAAGTATATTCTATCAGATGACCCTTAAAAATATATTTAGTAGATTCACAGAAGCCCAAGAGACACAGAAAACACAATTTCCTTCTACAAAAGCTGTGATATTTCTCTTCCTAATAGCATAATGTTATTGATGAATCTACTAACTCCAGTGCTTGTTTGCTTTCAGGCAGCTTGCCTGGAATGAATCCCAAACTCTCTCTCATGCAGCCACCCAACATCTTTCTTCAAAACCCAAGTCAGTGTCTGACAACTCCTGTGACCCCCTGGCTGATCTAAACAGCTGGGAATTCTTGAGGGATGAACCATCTGCTCCTGCTTGGACTGATTTTGCTGACACTCTAATTTGAGAGAGCATCTGTCTATACAGCAAACACAGCTACACAATAAAAAACACTCAAAAGATCCCTAAAAAGAATATTTGTTAAAAAAATACAGGGCATGTACCCTAGCAATGATGGATCATTAGAGGCTACAGAGGCAAGAGAGAATGTTCAAGAACATCTGAAGTGCCAGAAAAGAAATTAATCTATACTTCAGTAACTGCTTATTTTACCAAACCTTCTGGACAGGAGTGATGGCCAGTTAGTACTCAAGGTGTCTGACCTGGGAAATGCAGACTGTTCAGTTACCTGACACCAGGCAGGTGAAAGGTGACATTTGCCATTGGAGCTCCTCACCCTGGGAGGATGGAGGTCCTCAACCTGTTCTCAGGCTAAGTCCTGTAGAAATGCCCAGGGGGAGGGGGCACCCCCCATGCTGCAGGGCAACACAGCATAACCTGCATATCAAGATGTAATTGCCATGAATATATGGATAGCAAACTCCTCCTGAATCCCAGTGACCATAAGAATTTCCCAAGCTTATTGCATTTCCATGGCAGTATTAAAAATGCAAGCAGCACCAGGTATATCCAAGCAGACAGGAGTGTTGCATCTAAAAGCAGTTTTTCAACTAAGGTAGCAGCTCAGTGTTCTAAATAAATGTGATTATATGGCACTAAACTTTGTCGCCTGTACATTATTATAATATTCAAAACAATTTTAAAATATGATCCCCTCTCAAAACAAACAGGACCTTCAAAGACTATTGGTGTCCAGTAGCTCCTGCAAGAGTTCCAAGACTGCACAAATGGATTGTCAGCTTTCACTTGGCACACTCACTGGGAAAGCTTTGCCAAATCAGTCTTCTGGGAGAGCTTAAGGAACAACCAGCCAATTATGCAGGTACCCAAATATTTTGACAGTTTATGAAAAACAGCAGACAACTATTTTAAATCAAGAAACCTAAATGCAAAAACTACTGTACACATGTACACACTCCTGAACAAATAACAGTGGAACAAATCCAACAATAGTCAAGAGAAGCCAGAACAGAAACATGCAGAATTGCTACCATTCTCCTGGCAGCAGGGAGGGAGATCAGGAGTGCAGAAATCAGCAATCAAAACCCACAGAAGACAGGCAGCTGCCTATGGTGTTAGAAACACCACACCACAGAAAGCATATGCAGTTCCTCTTGTCTGTAGATTTAA